TAACTGTAAACAAGGTTAGAAGACTTACATTTAAGTATTCAGGTGTGAAGACTTCCTAGAAGACTTAAATGTAAGTCTTCTAACCAGAAGTAAAAATCGATGATCATTGTTATCATCTCATGTGTTATGCATACATTTGGTATGTGGTTTCTTCATTAATTTTTTTTCCAAGAATTTTTCTCACTAAAAGATTTAAACTTCAAAAAATTAATCAGAAAAGACTTCCCCAAAAGTATTTCTCTCATTAGTTAGAAATGTTAATAAACATTAATATTGGTAATCTCATAAATATTACCAATTAAGTTATAAATTTCACTCAGTAGCCCCAATATTGATTAGAGTACATGAATTAACAAGAAAATGTTAAAAGGTCTTTATAGTTTTAGGGAAAATGAAGGATTATTAAAAATTGACGCAGAAAGTCATCCATTTAAGTCATTTTGGCAATTAAAATTTTACAAAGTAAGACTTCCCGAGAAATCTACTCTACACCAGACTGCTTTGGAAGTATTCCTTTGTAAATATTGGCTTACTTTTGCTAAATAAAAAATCTTGAGAATACCAGAGAAGACTTACATGTAAGTCATCTAGGATAAGTAGGTTAGTTTTGCATTTGACCGGATTGTGTCAGAGATTTGACTTTTCCTAGACAATTTACATATAAGTCTTCTGGTAGAAAATTGAAAAGTCATTATTTATTTATAATTAGACAACTTACTTGTAAGTCGTCCGGTAGAAAAATAAAAATTAAATATTTAATTTTATCTGGATNATCTAGGATAAGTAGGTTAGTTTTGCATTTGACCGGATTGTGTCAGAGATTTGACTTTTCCTAGACAATTTACATATAAGTCTTCTGGTAGAAAATTGAAAAGTCATTATTTATTTATAATTAGACAACTTACTTGTAAGTCGTCCGGTAGAAAAATAAAAATTAAATATTTAATTTTATCTGGATGACTTACATGTAAGTCTTCCCGTAGATGACTTACACGATAGTCGTTCAAGATAAGCAAGGTTTGAGCATAATCTCGGAATAAAATCTTGGATGACTTTCGTGTAAGTCGACTCGCGGAAGATTTCCGTGTAAGTCGTCTACAAAAAAAAAATCTTTAAGTTTTATTTTTCAATTGCAAAACTAACATGATACGACTTACATGTAAGTCGTCTAGTTATAATTAAATATTGATTTTTTAATTTTCTACCAGACGACTTACAAGTAAATCGTCCAGGAAAAATCAAATTTCTGACACAATCCGGTCAAATACAAAACTAACCTATTTATCCTATACGACTTACATGTAAGTCTTCTTTGGTATTCTCGAGATGTTTTTTTAACAAAGAAAACTGGATGACTTCCATAGAATTTTTCTCTAAAAACACATATAAAAGTCAATTACAAAAGTAACTTTTATATTGACCGGACGACTTATGTGTAAATCTTCTACTGCTAGAAGACTTACGCGAAAGTTTTCTACCCGAACAGATCTGGAAAGTTTTAGGGAAAATGAAGGATTATTAAAAATTGACGCAGAAAGTCATCCATTTAAGTCATTTTGGCAATTAAAATTTTACAAAGTAAGACTTCCCGAGAAATCTACTCTACACCAGACATCTTTGGAAGTATTCCTTTGTAAATATTGGCTTACTTTTGCTAAATAAAAAATCTTGAGAATACCAGAGAAGATTTACATGTAAGTCATCTAGGATAAGTAGGTTAGTTTTGCATTTGACCGGATTGTGTCAGAGATTTGACTTTTCCTAGACAATTTACATATAAGTCTTCTGGTAGAAAATTGAAAAGTCATTATTTATTTATAATTAGACAACTTACTTGTAAGTCGTCCGGTAGAAAAATAAAAATTAAATATTTAATTTTATCTGGATNATCTAGGATAAGTAGGTTAGTTTTGCATTTGACCGGATTGTGTCAGAGATTTGACTTTTCCTAGACAATTTACATATAAGTCTTCTGGTAGAAAATTGAAAAGTCATTATTTATTTATAATTAGACAACTTACTTGTAAGTCGTCCGGTAGAAAAATAAAAATTAAATATTTAATTTTATCTGGATGACTTACATGTAATTCTTCCCGTAGATGACTTACACGATAGTCGTTCAAGATAAGCAAGGTTTGAGCATAATCTCGGAATAAAATCTTGGATGACTTTCGTGTAAGTCGACTCGCGGAAGATTTCCTTGTAAGTCGTCTACAAAAAAAAGTCTTTAAGTTTTATTTTTCAATTGCAAAACTAACATGATACGACTTACATGTAAGTCGTCTAGTTATAATTAAATATTGATTTTTTAATTTTCTACCAGACAACTTACAAGTAAATCGTCCAGGAAAAATCAAATTTCTGACACAATCCGGTCAAATACAAAACTAACCTATTTATCCTATACAACTTACATGTAAGTCTTCTTTGGTATTCTTGAGATGTTTTTAACAAAGAAAACTGGATGACTTCCGTAGAATTTTTCTCTAAAAACACATATAAAAGTCAATTACAAAAGTAACTTTTATATTGACCGGACGACTTCTGTGTAAATCTTCTACTGCTAGAAGACTTACGCGAAAGTTTTCTACCCGAACAGATCTGGAAAATTTTTGATTTCATACCTTAAATTAGTGAATTCCTTAGCACACAAAAGTCTTCTCCAAGCACTCAGAAGTTCAAACAAAAGTGACCCACCAAAAATTGTAAGCTTAAATGGCTTTATGAACCATAAAAATTAGAATCAAAATCTTAGATTTCTTTGGATGAATATAAAGAGAAAGTGAAAGAAAAGTTGTTTTTAGTTCATAAGAAGTAAGATAGAGGAGTGTAAATCAATTTTAGATGCATTAAGAGTTTCAAATTGGTTGGTCATGGTGGTTGGTGTATTGATGCCAATGGTAATCTTGTAAATATTTGAAGATGATGAGGATGAGAGAGTAAAAAACTCATTTTCGGAAAAGAAATAATGTCACTTTCGTGAATAATCCAAACTTTTGGGTGAATAAGAGAAATGAAAATTCCAAAAAAAATCATAGATTAGTTTTGTGTTTAACTTTGAGTTTAGGTCAATTTTGTAAAAATCCGAAAAAATCTATTAACTGTTTTGAATTCTTGTTACAAATAGAAAATTCCATTAAAACATATTGAATTATTATGGTTAACATATAAATGTTTGTCGAATTATTATGTTAAATATAATAAAGTAGTTAAGAAATCTGGTAATAATTAAAGAATGTAAAATATGTAATAAAACCATTTTAATAAGTAAATTTTGTTTGTTATTCATGTAATACATTTTGTTGAATTATATAGAAAGAATATAAATGAAGTGTTAAGAAATAGCGGAAAAAAAATTATAAAGCTAATTTTAAATAGGCAAGTATTATGCCCCCATTTCTTCACCAAAAGTGATAGATGATTTGTCTAGATTTATGATATGCCATGTTGCCTCTCCATACTTATGCAATACCTACATATTAAAAAAAAAAAAGAATTGTGATCAATACTATTAAAACAGAAACATTCTCTTTAATGAATAATTTACTTTTTTCAAATTTACCTTTAATTTTATGAATAAATTTATTTTTTTATTAATGAAAATTTTGTCTTTTCTTTTTAGGCCTAAAAACTATATACTAATGAGTTTCATTAATGGGCTCAATTCACTTTTTAATTATTTAAAAAATTTCTTTAAAAATAAACACATCAACTTTAATTGGCATAGTTAGAATTGCACATTTTGATATTAGCCCGCGAGTTTCGTCCCGTTTGATCCGCCACAGAATGGGGCGATTTGATTTGAAAAAATTAAGTTACGGGTGCGGATCAAAGGAATTTTACGCGGAACGGGTGCGGACTGATCTAATTTCAGTTGCGGTACCCGCTAATACGCAAAAATAGGAAAACAATTTTGTTTTAAGAAATTTTATTTTTCAAAAATATATTAAATTCCGTTAAATAATTATTATATTTTAAATATTAAAAAAAAATATAGAATTTAATATTATTTTTTAGGAAACATAAAAATAGTTATTTTATTATTTAATAATTATCTATGGGTCCCATGGATTACCCGTAAATTAAGTTGAACATATGAAAATAAAATATGTTTTTGTGGGCCAGGCGGGTCAGCCATGGCGAGTTTGACCCGCTTCCCAACACTAGACGTAGTTAATTGATATTATTTTCCCATAGTAAAACTACACAATTACATACAACATATTTACATAGATATTATTGATGTTAACAATAAATAAAAATATGCATTAATTTGAAAAAGTTATATTAGATAATGACATTTTATATCATCAAAACAAAAAACTTATCGATTTATCTGTAGATAAAACAACAGAAATGATATCCGCGCTTTTTAAGAGCGGATCACAAATTTAGTTTTCCCTTTAAGAAACTAGAGGGAAACAAGTCTCTGTCTAAATTAATTGATCAAATATATAAGACGTTAGAATTTATACTAAAACAAGTATTAATTTATGTGAGATTCACATGGTTGACGTTTATCAAAGAGTACAGGAGAAAAATCTGAATCTAGACATCTAGTGACGCTCAAACACGTGGTATGTGTTCCTAAAGACTCTTTAAAACCGAGACAAAGATTTGTTTATTTACCCTTTGTCAGTATTAAAATCTGAATGAACTTTTTCAACAGAACATACTTCCACCGACATGAACAACTAGTCTTATTTCCTAAATATTTCGTTAATTTGCTATCATGTGGAAAGAGTAATTAATTAGAAATCTCATTTTAACTGTATACTCAAGAAGAGGCTTTGATCTACATAGGGTGGCCTACGTTTACTGTTTTTTTCTTTTCCCAAAGAAGATACATTGGATGCGAGTTTGTTTTCATTCTACTTTATTATACTTTTTCTATTCCTATGTGTATTTTTTTTTTGGCTTGAAGTAACAAAAATGAACAAGAAAAGTGTATTTGTGTGGTTATGATTTCTCTCTCTCCTTTTTTTTACTTGGCTGATATGGTTAATAGAGCAGTAGTGAATGAAACCAACATTTTACCACAAAAGACACTCCAGAATTCACGCCTGATTGTCCAGACAGGCATTAAAGTGCGTGAAATTTGATTCTTAACTTGCTACCTTTCTTCTTACATCCTCAGACCTCTGTGTGGGCATTCATCAGTTTCGCATTTTTGGGATCAAACCCTTCATCCTGAATGCTTCTTTGGTTGTTTTTTTTCTACGGAAATTTATTCAAAAAAAATCATATTTGCATCTGGGTTGGTTTCTCAATAAAAGCTGAGATTTTCTCCTTTTTTTTAATTGCGTGTTGTTGATAAAATTTCAATATTGTCCAAAGGGCCGGCTTGCATTACTCTCTAGAAGCAGAGAGGGTAACAAACCTGGCGAGACTAGAAGCGATCCACAAGCTAAGAAGAGAGAGAAAAAACATGGGGAACGGTCAATTGATCCCAATACTAGGCTTCCTTACATGTGTGGCGTTTCTATATCTCTCCTTTGGAGATTTGTGGTTCGATTACAAAAGAGAGGCGGAGCTAGGTTTCGTAAGTAGAAACGGCACACAGTTCGTGTTGGATGGTAAGCCTATGTATGTGAATGGGTGGAACTCCTACTGGTTCATGGACCATGCCGTCAATGATCATAGCAGACACCGTGTGGGTGCAATGCTTGAAGCTGGATCCAAAATGGGTCTCACTGTGTGTCGAACCTGGGCTTTCAATGATGGTGGTTACAATGCTCTCCAGATCTCTCCTGGCAGATTCGATGAACGTGTCTTCAAGGTATCTCCCCCAACCATTACCTTTTTTTTACGTTACTTCTATGATTTCAATTATTTTTATTTTATTTTTTTAGGCTCTGATCAATTTAAGGATCTTGGTTTAGATAGTTTTTTTTCTTTCTGTTTTTGCTTAATTTTGGTTAGAATTAGTTCCACAGTTTTTCTTTGTCTTTAAAGTTTCAGTCTTTTTGACGACATGAGTCATCGTTGAGGCTATTTTAATCATAAATGCCAGTGAAGATGAGATTATAAATAGAAAACAGGGCAATGTAGCATCAATTTATATCTCTCTGCGTTTGATTCTTTATTACATTACTTGTCTCTGCATTTGTCATCTTTTGCAATCTGTTGTTTCAGTATTTACATCTACTGCACTGACAATATTTTTATCTTCCATCTCTTTCTGTTGTTCTTGTTTCTACTCTCTCCTAGTGAAATTTATATAATGTGGTTGCAACTTGATGAAGTTGATGATGTATAATGTGGTTAGGCCTTGGATCATGTAATCGCAGAGGCAAAAACACATGGTGTTAGGTTGCTTCTTAGCTTAGTCAATAACCTACAAAACTATGGAGGGAAGACTCAGTACGTGAATTGGGCATGGCAGGAAGGTGTTGGGCTCAGCTCCTCCAATGATTCTTTCTTCTTTGACCCATCTATCCGCAGATACTTCAAGAATTATCTGACCGTATGTCTTGTATCCTTGTCTCCTTCTTGATGTGTTAGCTTAGAGACAGAATGATGTTGAAACTCTGATATGACAATTGGCAGGTGCTGCTGACCCGGAAAAACTCGATAACAGGGATAGAGTACAGAAACGACCCAACGATATTTGCGTGGGAGTTGATAAATGAGCCTCGCTGCTTAACTGATATCTCTGGGGATACTCTCCAAGTAAGTTCCGTTTGATGGTTTCTTTGCAAATGTCATTGATTAGTTAGTGTTTTGCTAACAAAGTTAGTCATCTTTTTTGTGTTCAAAAAGGATTGGATAAACGAAATGACAGCATACATAAAATCAATTGACAAGAAGCATCTTCTAACAGTAGGCTTGGAAGGTTTCTACGGCCCCAAGAGCCCAAAACGGCTGACGGTTAACCCGGAAAGGTGGGCATCTGAGCTTGGTTCAGATTTTGTTAGAAACTCTGAGTCCCCAAACATCGATTTTGCATCGGTTCATATCTACCCTGATCACTGGTAAGCAGCCTCTCTCTCTCTCTCTCTCTCTCTCTTTGTTTTGTCTTGAAACAAACAAACAAAGTTCACATGCATTGGGTGCAGGTTTCACGACCAGGGGTTTGAAGAGAACCTAAAGTTTGCGGTGAAATGGATGCAATCTCACATGGAAGACGGGGACAAGGAACTGAAGAAGCCTGTTCTCTTCACCGAGTTTGGGCTATCGAATCTGAACAAGGACTATGAGCCGTCGCAGCGTGATAGGTTCTACAGAACAATCTTTGATGTTATATACAAATCAGCTAAGAGGAAAAGGTCAGGGGCAGGAACATTGGTGTGGCAGTTTTTGATAGAAGGCATGGAAGGGTTCAACGATGACTTTGGGATAGTGCCATGGGAGAAAGATTCGATCCAGAGACTAATGTTGGAGCAGTCTTGCAGATTGGGTAGGGTCACAGGACGGCATCTTCAGGACAAGAAGTATAGAGAAATATGTTCGCACAAACCCTGATGATGAGAGAATTACACTTAACTACACAAGAAGAAGAAGCTTGAGATTGATTTACTTGGGGGGTTTAATACAAAAGTGTTGTGTAGTATAGTTTTGTCAATTACAAACTTGTAATATGTATCCCCCAACATTTTGTTTATTCTAACTTTTGGCCACGATTATTTTGAGTAGTCATTAACAACCTTGGTGGCCACTCACTCTCTCAATCTGATTTCCACTACACAGTTGCCAACTTTCACTTCACTCATACCAAATCTGCTCAGGTTTGATCCATTCTCAAGAAGCGTGGACAGTACGGGAATGGTAGTTACGATGGAGGTTGAAGGAGATTCACTGTGGGTGAAGAAGGTGAAAGCGAAGAAAACATTGTGTGGGTATCTTTTACCGTCAATACACTGCGCCGCAACTAGTTCTTAACTTTGGTTTTATGGCAATGCTCCTAAAGTGCTATGATATTGCATTCTTCCCTTGGTGATCAATAGGATCTCTACTCATTTGAGTCAAATACTTTTGTGCACTGAAGAGCATCTTCTAGTTGTTGAGCTAAAAAGCTTGCGTTGTATTGGTTACAGGAAAAGATGGATGGGATGATGCTTATTTGGGCAATGTTGGCTTACGTAAGATGGAGCTTTGACCTATTTTTCTTTGTAATGAAAGAGTCATGTTGCTAAGCTACTACACTGTGCGATGAACCTCATGGTAAAGATATGATCAATTCTTTTTTTTTGTCATCAAGATATGATCAATTCATTTATAATTGGATCAAGGTTATTAATTTATTATTGCATTAATTTTTTTCTTAACTTATTATTTAGAGTACAATCCACGTTACTCTCTTATTATTTTCGGCAAAATGCTCAGAATTTGAGATGAACATCACACCGCACCTTGATCAACAATACATATGGAGTAAAACAAGGAAACAGCCATAAGAAGTCCGAACAAAACTTCAATTTGGAAAAAGAATACAAAGTCTCTAAGATAATGAGCAAAGGGGTACTAGATGTTTGCAAAATAGCAAAGTCGTTAGATGTTTGCACAAAGGGGTACTAATCAAACTCAAGTAATGAACAAAACAATATGCAAAACTTGATGATTAGGCTTCAGAAGAGTTTATCATTCACTCAGTTGCTCAAAGCCTATAGCTTTGATCAGGCAATGTAGGCAAAGATATTATTCATCATCACCAGCCTTTTCAAAAAGAAAATAATACAATCGTGACTCTTCTAAGAAAACAAAACTAGCTATGCCTCGGAATAATCTTTGTAAAATATATCAAAGGCCCTATAGATAATGACTCCAAATAAAATTTAAAAAAAAAAAAAAGGATGAATGAGCCTCAGAGTGAATATAAGATTCAAGTTTTAATTTCAGGGGTAAAATCAAACAATGTAGGCAAACTTTTTCAATCATCACCGGCCCAATCATCTAACAATCACGATGACAAGAAATTGATATAGATACATATACGAAAGGTCAACGAAACGTCATCAATATCCCCCATCTTTACTCATTCAATGAGCTGGACTGGATCAACAAAAAAAAAAAAATTGAAAGACGGCATGAGAGAAACACATAATAACATCTATGCTAGTGATAACGGAAACTGAAATAAAACGATCAGAAAAGCTTTCTCTCCGCCAACTAGTCGGCTATAGAGTTTGTTCTTCGCTCTCTCCTCTAAACCCTAGCTATAGGATCCTTTCTTATATGCGTTGCAAGTGTGTGGGTGATTAGCGCTGGGTATAGGCCCATATGTTGGCCCATTAAAGCTTTATGTTATCCACCCGACGTTTTTGGAATTGTGTATTGGTTCAATTCAAAGTTCAGTCCCTTTTTCAGAAAGTATCTCATTTTTTCATCTTTCTTTCCCGTTTTTTTTTGTGGTCAAGCATCTCTTTGTCCCTTTTACTTTTACTGTTTACATCTTCAAACTAATTTAAAATTGTGTCGGCTTATTCTCTTTTTGAATTAAAGCTGAATTTTATGGTTTATCGTTTTCAAATATGTCATTGGTTAAGAGTATCTCATTATAACCATGATGAAGAAGGTGTTGACATCCAATCAAATAAGTAATTTGGGCGAAGAAGAAAAGAACCATACAATTACTAATACGAATGAAGACAATACTTGGATAAATGCAAAACCCACAAAAGTATGATCAAAAAGACAAAACTTTTAACGTAAGAAGAATTAAAAAAAAAAATACAAGACGCAAAGATTGAAGAGGAGAGGATGAAAGAATCATTAGCGACGAAGATTTTTTACTTTGGACCATCCTTTCTTACAAGATTTGCCGACGACTTTGATACTCTTCTTGAACAGATGCTTCAGCTCTATCGCTCTCATCTTCACCTGCTCTTCGAATGCTCCCATCTTTCTTTCTTTCTTCCTTGGATTCTCTCTCTCTTTTTGTTCGTCTATCTCTGTCTCTAACCAGCTATATAGATGATGTTATGTTGAATTAAAGTTTCGCTTGTGCCGACATCTTTTTATTGATAAATAGGACAGCTATGCTGAGTTTAGATGTGTGTTTTATTAATAGATAAATACAGCTAAGGTAAGGTATCCCTGGCTCTGCTGTATTTAAAAGTGTTTTATTATTAATAAACTGTTTTTTTTTTTACCAATTCGCATCAGTTAAAGCGTAATCTATATAATAATGGGGGAGTTTACTCACTCCCAAAACGTCACGTCAACTTTTTTTAAAAGGTCCACACATAGTTTTTTAACTACTAAACTCACTTATGCTGACAATTAGCACTTGATGATCATTTGACCGAGTGGTCAACTCCGCTAAATTAAAGCTTCCTCCTGCGGGTTTAGGGTTCAATTCTTCCAAACTTCTTTTTTTGGGGTCGCCTTTTTTATTAGTTACCGGGCTTTATTTATTTTTGGCCCATTTATGTTGGGTAAGTTGGCCCGTCTAGATATCATCTAGATCCTTCTCTAATCGTTTCCCTTTCCCGGCGAACGAATTTCACAAAGTCGTCCTCTTCGACTCTTCTCCTCATATTTACTTTTGTAACTGTTTTGCCATCAATTACGCCTTTGGAATCATTCTATATATATGTTTGTAGCTCGCATCTCTGGTTTCCCCTTTTTCTCCACATTCTACTCCGATAAACCCCACAGCCCCCGTCGCAGTGATGTCTTCTTCAGATGCTCAGAACGCGAACGCCGCCGTCGAGTACTCCACCTTCGAATCTCTCCGACTTGGAAGGACGGTCCAGACTGTTGTTGCTCGCCTGATTCGGTTCTGGGATGCAGGCAACATTAATAAGAACGGCGAGTTTATGGGGATTACGTTGTTACTCCTTGACGAGCTGGTAAGTGTTGTGTATAACATAGATTTGTATTCAGACATTTATAAGTGAATTATTAAAGTTTGGTTTTTAATTCATTATAGGAACCGGATCAAGAACTGATGCTCGGTAAAATGAACGTCGTTATCAGAAAATGTAAACTATCGAAGACAAACATGAATGTTTGGTTTCACTGCACCAGCCTCCTCACGTGAGGAAGGTCCTTACTGCATCTTGGTCGGTTAGATTGATTCCGCTAGAAAAAAATCTCTTGAAGCTCTTTATCGCCAAGTACGCCTAGATCCAACTCTTTTTTTTTTAATATAGATTTGTGTTCTTGAAGTTCATCCCTAATGGTGATTTGAATTTTTTTTTGTGATTTGGAAATAATGAATTAGGCGAGGTATACTTATTATAATGGAAAGCCTTTAATAGTTGATGACATGTTTGACAAAGCTGAGGTAAGAAAGCTCAGAACATGTTCTGTTTCTAAAGATGTACTTTAGTTATATTACAGTTTCTTCTGTTGAAGTGGTGGTGGTATGGTTCTAAATCGGTTGTCAAGTACCCTTGGTGCAGTCTCCTGCGACAATCAACTTATGCTGATGCAGAGGTACTCTTTGGTAGAGTTCAGGATCATATCTTTCAGTTTTGTCCTAGAATAGTGTTATGCTCATTTGTTTTGTCAATGGTTGATATTGAGTTGAATCCTTTTATTCATCTCAGGTTCTCCAGTTAGCTACTATATGGATCTTGATCTCCTGTTGGGTAGATCTGTTTATCTGCATGCGTTTTGCCCACTATTTATGGCCGAGGAGAGATCGGCGTTCCAAGTTTACATAGTTCTCACCAAAGAACATAAATTTTGATCTTTTGTAACATATTTCTTTAGACAGTTGACAAGAAAACAGAGAAGGTAATAGCTTTGATTTTAATGTATTTTAATATAAATAATAATCTATTAAAATCTAATACAATAAATATATGATAATAAATCTATATTACGTTACTCTTGAACATATTGAACTCTCTTCAACTTTATTTGTAGTTTTGTATATACTACAATTATATGATTTCCAAAAACACATCATGGTACCTTATAAAAAAAAACTTAACAACAGTTACTATATGTTATTAATTTTTTTTTCCCCTTTTTCGTTTCACTACTTGAGTCGTATATTAACAACTACATAAGTTTGCTATCTATGGTCATGGAGTCGCTAATAACGTAATTAGTTGATTAAATCATACTAATATTATATAATTAAATACCAACACATATGTATCTGCTAAACAATCTTATATTTAAATAAAAACAACTCTTTATTCACTTACAAATATTTATCCCTAAATATTTTGGATGACCATAAAATTCATATACATTACAATTAAACAATATATATACAATATAACTTTCGACTGAAAATCACACTAATAAGCATGTTTCCTCTTTCTGTTTTCTATCCATTAAATTATTTTCCTTTGTAAAATTTGATAAATTCTTACAACAATTTTAATTTTAATGTCATTGCACTAATTAACAATAATATACTAACAACATATTAATTTGACAATAACAACCTCATGAACCTCAGTTTTTAAACATGAAAGCTCTAAAACGCTAAGTTCGATAAAAATATTTACTTATGAAAATATCAGAGGATATGAATTTCCCACTGATTCTTCTATCAATCGAATTAAGCTGTGAGATTTACAAATTTCGTTTCTCACCATTTTAGTTTTTTTTTTTTTTTTGGTCACGATCTCACCATTTTAGTTAAACCCCCAAAAAAAGTTAAAATAACAAACGACAACATACATCACTGTATGTATCCGGCCCCGCGCAAGCGCGGGGGCTATGAACCTAGTTAGTACAACACTACA